TGGTGGTGATCAGCCGGACTGTGTGGGCCCAGCTTAGGGGCCACGAAACAGCTAGTTTGGGGTTTGCAGCTACAGCCCTGCCCACTGTGTGCAGAAAAAAACTTCTTCGATTTTACCAGGAGCCCAAAGCCAAGCAGTTGATTAGGTTAAGCATCATCTACACCTGAGCACACAGCCACCCCCACCAAATCCCAGGGACTATTCCTTTCACTGTGTTCACAGGTGGGTTTTTAACAAAATTAGTAATGAGATCTCGCCTCCAAATCCCTACTCCCTGGTGATTCGCTTGGGGGAGATCAGCGTGTCCTGTGTTTTCTGATTGATGTCGAAATTCTACCATCTCCCTGCCCTCTCTCCCCTGCACCCAGCTCGCCATTAACCCATCTTTTCCTGATTAACTGAAGGATCTGAAAACAAGGTCCTGGCCCCCCACCCAGCCTTTCTCAGCCCCACAGGCACCAGAGCTCGCAGAAAGTCACACAGTCCCTGTGAAGAGGCATTTGTGCCCCAAAGCCTTCCAGACTTTTAGAGACTCATGCATGTTGGGGTCCCCTTCCCATCCCTACCCTTCTTACTTGACAAACAGCGTCTAATCTGCAGCCTTAGCGTGCTCTCCTGATGGGAATCACAGGTGATGGAGACACACCTTCTGCTTCAGGGACCGCTGTCCTCTCCCAGGTGGACCCTTCCCCACCTGCTCCACTTTGCTCATAGAAAAAGAGGCAATAACCATTCCCCGGGGAGGCCATCTCTACCTGGTAAGAAAAGAGTGTTTGGGGCAGGGATAATAGGTAGGGTGTAGATCTTGTTTTGTCTTTTTCCCCCACCAATTATTTATAGAATTTTTAATGACTATATAGTAATGTTCCCTTTTATTTATCCACTTTCAAATTTTAATGAATGCTTCTGGCTATAATTACCTAATTTCCACACTTAAATGTACTAGACATTCACGGTTTGCAGCAAATCATGTTTCAGTGGGATGCAATCCTGTCGTATCCAGTGCGGTGTTTCATGGCTTAATCAATAGATAAATTCAATGCTTATGAGCTACAGTTAGTTCTTTAAATTGAAGAGGCATCGACAAAAGGAGGAACGGAGTTTATTGCTGCTCTCCTCGGAGAAAAATCTACCACAAATTGGTTCATTTCTTCTGTTGCTTCTTGATCATTCAGGGAAGCAGCTTAATACTTTACATGTGCAGCCTCGTAAGCAGGCTTGCCCCCGCCTTTGGATGGATTTCCTCTTCTCTGTACATCATGTATTTTACATAAAAAGGGGGCCTTTGGTGGTCCCCTCCAGCCACTGAGCTCTCCAATGTGTCCCCCAGGGCTGTCACTGCTAACAAGATGCTACCCTCTCTCAGATGTGGGCTCCACATGGACTGCGGGGGTGTCTCAGCTTCTGAAGCCACCTGTACTGCTGGGTGCAATAGCTGTGGCATTGAACCGGGTTCCAGTTTTAGGACCCAAGAGTGAGGCACCGCCAGGAGTTTCCGTGTCTCCACTGACCCCACAGCAGCACCGCCCAGAGTGAACTTCAGCTCCACTGCACAGGGGGTCCTTCTGTGCTCTGCTGGGCCATGGCACATGTGAAAGTTACGTGCTCAATGAGGACCTGAAGCCAGTTTGCCTGGCATTGAAACTTTTATTTCCCGGCTTCTATATTCTCTTTTGGAGCCTTCACATCCACTGGAGTAAGAAGGCAGTGCTGGAGCTGAGAGAAGCAGGCAAGGCCATCAGAAGAGCAGAAGGCCCAAGCACAGGTGACAGGGCCCGGGTGACACCAGAAAGTGAAGGAGATGAGGTGGCTAATGGACTCCCACCATCCGTCCAGGGGAGCCCTGAGGGCCTGGAGGCTGGGCATTGTTAATCAGGAAAAAAGAGCATTTTCAGTCATCCCATGGGACAGCCACTTAGCCAGGACAATAATTAGGCCACTTACACTGACCATATTTTGCGTTTAAACCAAGGGAATTCCTGGTTCAGCCTACCCAAGCTTTCTCAGACTCCCTGTGAAGAAGCTGGTGGGAGAACAGAGCTGGTGGCTGCGCACCACCCCTGACCTGCAGGGGCCTCTCCCAGAGCAATGGGTCACTGGGTGAACAGCGAGGAGCTCCATAATAAGCTCGGGCATGGAAAGAGGAGGCTCCCCAGGGTGGGAAGCAACCCTCAGCTGCGGAGGTGTGAAGTCAGCTCCCTGAGGCAAGTTCCGGCAGGGTGGGTGGGCGTCGCGTCGCCCCGCCCCGCCCCGCCCCGAGAAGGTGGGGCGAAGCAGGCGGAATAGGCTTCCGAAAGTACCAGGAATGGGCAGGCTGAAGCACAGGAGGAGTAGGTCTAGAGAGAGCAGCGGGAAATCTCAGCATTGCAATAAATTTTATTAAAATGTAAGTAGCCTGTTAATCACCCCATTCTTTCTCACCCTGTCTTTCACATCTGGTGGTCTCGCCCAGGAATCCACGCGGTCTTCTGCACCTTCTGAGACCCTGTGTGCCTCTCACAATGTGTCCTTCCTACCTCCAGCTCTTTATCTTCATCATCGTTATCCCCCTCTGGATACGAACAGAGCTGCATTCTGATTTCTGTCCAGGGTGCTTTGTTTTAAGGGTGCATGACAGTCACAGTCCTGGGGTCACTGCTCCGGGTGGGGGATCCCTCCTGCCCCCCTCCAACAGGTACTGCACAGGCTGCTCCCAGCACCCGGCAACTAAACCAAGGTTCCCTAACCAATTCCCGACTTTTTAAAAATTCTAAATATCCTGCTGTCCGAAACACAAAACTATCAACAGTGTCAACAAAAGTACCGTGACATATTTAACACCTTATCTTCGCTTCCCCAAATTTCCTCTCCACTTTTAGCTTAACAGCACAACCAGGTTAGAAGTAGACTTACACATCAGTGGTTGCATTTTACAAAATAAAGTCATAAACCTCTGGAATTGGGCCTCCCTTTTAAGACTACCAAAGACACTCTGATTTGTCTCATAGTCCTGTAGAGCTCACAGAAAACCTCTGGTACCCTGAACGTTGTCTCCCTTGCAGCAGGCTGGAGGAGTATTTGCTATAAACTCGGCCAGTGCAAAAGCTGAGGCACAGGGAGTGGACCAAGAGGAAGTGGTCCCTGAGCCACCTGACCTCAAGTTTCATGCCCGCTTTAATACACTGGGCCTTGTTTCCTCAAGCTTTCCATGAAAAGCAGGCACAACCGCACCAACCTGAGACCCACAGTAAGGAGTCGGAGTACCAGCAGAGGGAGAAGGCAGCTGCTCACAGGCTGGGTGAGGGCTGCATGAGTGTCCTGTCTTCATGGAGAGGACACAGACACCCCGAACCTTCTTTTCTTCATTTAAGAAGTAAGATCATGCATCATCATTGTGTTGCTTTCCAGTCCAGATCAAGGTCACTGTCAAAGAATAATGCAGGAAGGAGCAGGGACAGTAAAGCCCGCTGTGGTGGTCTAAATCAGAAGGTGTTGCCTGTGCAATGTAGTCACTGAGAGCAGAAAAACTGCTGGGAGCATGGCACATTCAAGTGGAAACTTGGGACGAAAATGCCAGTTCCACTGTCAATGGGACAGCAACACTTGCATGGAATGTTCTGAGCTGGAAGTGCCTTCCAGGTCACTGTCCCTGGCTCTGTGCAGATCCCACCTGGGCCAATTTGTGGGGACCTGGGCTCACGGCGAAAGATGTATGTGACATGATGGGAAGGCATCCAGCCAAGGGACCCACGAAGAATGAGACAAAGAGGGAGATCACCTTTCAGGGCCAGATCCGAAGGCCAACTGTGTGCATTTCCCCTAAATGACAACAGAAGGAGTCCAAGAGATAATTGAAGGATTGTAAAGATCAAAGGGCTGGAGGATTTGCTGTCTCTGGCACAGGAGTCTAGGATTGCAAAAACCAGAGCAAATGCATGATGTTAGAATACAGTTTGCCTGGCAGAAACCCCTCTTAAATAGGAAAATTATTTTCCTCAGAAGAACTCAGATTTGGGGGATTGTTCAAAGTCTACTCTTAGAAGCTGTCAAAATGCTTTTGGAAGAGAGGAACCATGTGTAACTCGTGAAAGAGTAGCTCAGAGGATCTGCTATGGTACAGTTCGTCCTTGCTCACTCCAACAGTGTGACAGAAAAGAAAGAGCTCCTACAGTGTTGAGCAGCCACATTTGCATTCTCCAAGCAGAGGCGTGAGAGTGGAGACAGGAGCCCTGGGTTTCTTGCATCCATAGTAGGAGATGGGGATCTTTTATGCAGGAGGTTTTCAGCTGAACATCAAAAGGAAAACAAGTCCAACAAGTTCAAGCAGGCATGAACTTAGCTCTGGCCAAGGAGTGAGGAGGAGACATCAAACTGATGGACTGGCAAAAAGACTGAGGCATCAGTTTGCAATGCTAAGTTGTGCCGAGTTAAACCTGTAGTGGACTGCAAGGAAAAGGAAAGGCCTTGATAATTTTCTCAAAACACATATTTCCATTGTTTCCTGTTTCTACCATGACTGGGGAAGTTAATGGCGGACATGGTAAAAGGAATGCTGTGGGAAGGAAATAGCACACTAACTTCTGAAGGCTGCTGACCTAAGTCAACTTGGGAGAAAAGCAAGGGAAGGTCAAGAACTAGGGTTGGAAGAGCCTAATGTGGGAGCTATGAGGATTCTCACCTGGCTCCAAGGCCAGCAGATGGAAGACACGAAGACCCAGAGTTGTGTAGAACTCCAATATGATCTCTGGGAATCAGCCAGATGGTTGTGAACATTACCCCTAAATCTGCAAGGGAACCACTGGGAATTAGTAAATGGAAAAGTATCAAGATAAGGTCTGTGTTTTAGAAAGATCTTTCTGGCTGCGAGGTAGAGAGTGGATGGGAGGCATGAAATGCTAGAGGTGGGGAGAGGAATCAGGAGTGGGTTGCAGAAGTCTAGAAAAGAAATAACGTGCTTGGGATTAAGAGGGTGCTGAGAAAGTGTGGTATGAAATGATTTGAAAAGGTAGAATCCTCTGTTGTTTACATAGATAGAGGGTTGATGTTGAGGAAGGCATAGGTGCAGTAATCTTTTTCTCAAATGGCCAGGAACTTGGTGGTCATGCCACCTTCAAAGGACTCTGACCCTGGAAGAAGGATTTGGGCATTATTGTAGGAAGATGAAACTACAAAGTGAGTTTGAGCATATTGGTTTGAAGGCTTTCTGTCATTGCTCGTCATGTCTCAAGACAACCATCATATGCATGAATGTCAAGGTTTGAGATTGAGAAGCAGGCTGAACATGCAGCTCTGTGAGTCATGGCATGTGACTAGAGGACTCAACTGTAGCCCAGTGGTAAAGCACTTGCCTACATACACAAGGCCCTGGGCTCAGTCCCTAGTACTGTAAAAAATAAAACAAATCCCCAAGACTGTGTATTTGATTAAAAAAAAGGAGCCAGTGTTCCTAAAACAGAAGCCCTTGACTTTAGTAATAATACATGATCAAGCAGGAAAGCCTTGGGAGCCCACGGAACTCCAAGAGAGGGAGGAATAGTTATCATATATTTTCCAGTGGCCTCTGGCAGGCCTTAAAGAACATCAGCATCTGGTGTCTGAAAGAGAAAGGCAGTCCTGGGAAAAAGTCTGAGAAGAATATTGGGTGAGACACAGGGAAGCCAAGATCCAGGAGCAGGGTCAAGGCCCACAGCAGGACCTAGACATGTGTCAGGACAGATGGGTTGGGCACTGAACTAAGACTTTGCTGTGAGTCAGTCTTCATCGATGTAGTGAAGACCAAAACTACTGGAGAGGAGCTAGAGCCAGATAAGCCAGGCACACATAGAGAAAGCAGCCTGTGGGTTTTGTCTTGCAGACTGAACTTGAATTTTCTGTCAAAGAAGTCACACCAAGGAGAATCTGAAAGGGCTGAGGTCAGAACCATGGCCCATCATGGTGCGTTTGCTGAACAAGAAGCATTTCCATGGCGCAGGTCCAAAGTATTTGAGACAACAGGGTGGAAGATAGGATGTGGACATGCAACACTTAGGGATCAGAGCAGAAGCTGTGCAGAGAAGTTTGAGCTTTGTTTTTCTGGAAATAGGAATACTTAGAGCTTGCTAGAGAGGTGAGCGACATCATCCCGTGCCTTTAGTAACTGCCCCAGACACTACAGAAGTTGTGTAGAGCAGACATATTTAGGAAAGAGTCCATAATCTTCAGGGTAATGAAAGATGTGCAGGTGTGGGATGGCTGGGGCCACACTGGGCATCTGGGTGGAAGACCCTGCTTTCCCAGGAAGACCAGAGGAGCATAGTTTTAGAGCTGGACAAAGGATGACCCAGTTAGAGTAAGCTGAATGCTGCAAAGGGCCAGCCACTCATTCTGTTTCCTAGGGGGATTTTTCCCTCTTTATATCAGCCCTCTCTTTCTTCACTGATCATGCCTGGTGTTGGGAGTTCTCCTGGTAAAACCATTCACTGAGCTATTGCTTCTGACATTTTAGCTTGCTGAATTACTACAGGCCAAAAGAGAGTTCATGTAAGCAGAGGGAGCAGAAGGACTCAGGATTTGTACCATGATCATGATGACTTCTGCTGATGTGGACCCAATTCTCATTTTAGTGACAGGTGAGGCTGTGTCCTAATGGCGCCTCATTTGGATCACTATGTGCCTCTCCTTCCAGCAGCCCCAGGCAGTAGCCAGTTGCATCAGGTGTGGTGGAGTCACCAGTGGCTTTTCACGTTCCATTGCACTCTGAGCACTTCATGTGTGACACATGACATGTGACACAGCTTTTGGATGGTCCTCCCGGCCTCCGATTGTGTGGTGTATCACTAGTTTCGATGGTGGCTTCTTTGTAAATAAGGTAACAGTGTCATCCCCATAGTTCCAAAGTTTAAAAAACCTGGCTCCTTTCATGGGGCTGTTCACTGTGAACAAGGTGGACCCACTTCTGATCCCTCCATTCCAAATGATGTGCCATGACTCATAAAGCAACACAGTCTCTGCATGGTGACCTCAGAAATTAAACTGAGAAGAGACGGGCATAGATCTCCCCTCTTTATCACTTCCAGTCTGCACTGGGGAATGGAAGCAAGACCCTGCCAGCAAGAGGAAAAGCAGAGTCAGGTCTGAGGAATGGCTAAGTCATCTGGAAGTCCTGAGTTGATGCTCCATGGTTTCTAGCTCGTTTATTCATTTCTTCCCATCGCAGCAGTAAAAAAGGAGGCTTCCTTCTCCAACCAGAAGGAGTCCAGGAGATCCTCGCATGGTGTTCTGCCCTGGCCATGACTCCTGCCCAGGAGCCTGTAGGAATTAAGTGGTGAAAAATGCCGGGATGGATTATTGCCGTAATGGCTTTCTGGAAAATAACAAATCTAATTCCCAGTAAAATATCATTAGAATTTGCCAGGTCCTATGATGGGGAAAATAAAATGCTCTTCCTAGAAATTTTTCATGCTCTGTGGTTTCTAAAAGAGATTTTGAAGACTCTGCAGAGAAAGATAATGTGGTGATGTGATTTAGGGGCCCACGTTAATTTCCCTGCTCCGTCAAATGTACGATGGACTCTTCTTATATAGATAATAGACTGCAAAGCCCAGGCTGATAATTTTTAATTTCTATGAGAATAAGGGCCCTGAAATCCCTCACTTTGGGTTCCCTCCTGCTGTTCACTAGTTGTGTGTCACTGGGCACCTCCTTGAAGGTCACAGAGGCCTAATTTTGTGGTCTGTACAATGAGGCTGATAGTAGGACTTTCCTCCTGTCTGTGTGAAGCTTTATGAGGTTACTCCAGGCGAAGCACCAAGCTGTGTCCAGTTCGTCAATATTGGCAGTGATCTCAAGGAGGTTCCTGTTTCTCTTCTCCTGTGAGTGGACTGTTTGACTAACGCCACCCTTTCTTCATATTCTTCTGTCCTTCCTGAGTTAATCCAGTGGCTCCTCCTACAGAACGCTCTTCCGGGGTGGTTGTGTGCACCCATGTGGCCCGACAATGGCTCAGGAGTCGTTCCAAGCCCCCCTTAGATGTCTACGGCCCTGAACTTGGTGGGGAAAGGTTGGGTGAGTTGAACCAGCAGATGCTGAAGTGTAAGGCAAGAGGACTCCACTCCTTTCTTGTGATAATTGAAATCATTTCAATTCATTTCCTTCTTGGTTGGACAGAAACATGCTTTCAGTAGTGAGCAAATCTTGGGGGAATCCATTGACCTGAGCAATCATATAATGCATGAAGTTAATGGACAAAAAATGATATTCATCTTCAGTTTATAATAGCATTTTCTTCCACCGCACCTAAACATAGGGGTGGTGAAGGATGCTATTGGAGCAGCAGCCACACTGCCAGCAGATGTGTGACCTTTGTTGTATCTAACAATTATTGGATCTATGGTGGAATAAAATAAAAACCAACACAAGTTTTGACACTAAGATAAATTATAAATTATGGAAGTCTACGCCACCGAGGATCTTGTAAACAACAGGCTGGTCTCTTAGCAACAGACCAAGGAGAAAGCAGGTTGTTGATAGGAAGGGAGAAGACAGTATTATTTTGTGGGTGATTACTACCCAGGACTGGGACCCACATTTTAACACCTGTCTCGGGCCCACTCTCTGCCCAGCTGATCTTTTCCCCAGTGGCCAGCTGTGGAACAAAACGAGCCCTGGAATTGGCATCCTCTTCACCAACGCAAGCGACCAGACCTGAGGGGAGGACAAAGGACATAGGGAAGGGAACAGCCAGGAAATGAATGAGGGTGCTCGGAGCACCTGTAAGGAGGGGACTGGGGATGAATACACGCTTATCTGACACTGCCTGAAATTACAACTAAACAGGATTGGAACTAGGCGACTCCTCTCTTCCCTGCACCCGACTCCCTTTCGCTTTTCAAATCTCACTTAGGGTAGTTGTCATGAGGGAATTGAGACAAGATTTTGACAATGTGCCAAAGTGGTTTATTTTTAAATGTTGTTCCCAAAAGCACCAGAATATTAAGTTGGAGCAAATGTTGCTTGAAAGCGTAGAGGGGCTGTGGTCAGGCAGACACTTGAGGAAGGGCTGGAGACCTCCATGAACAAAGGCAGGAGGATGAGAAGATGGGGCCTCTGGAAGCATTTTTAAAAGTAGCGTGGCTGTGTGAGTGAGAGTTTCTCGATTGCAGGGCATCCTCTGGGTTGGGCTGGGGAGAGTGATCTTTCTTTAATTAATTAGGTGTTTACCTCCAGGATCTTCCCTCCGTGGTTTAGAAAACCACCTGCCCACACGTTGGAAATGAGATTCTCTACAGTCTCTTGGAGTGGAATTTTCCTAGAAAAAAAATCCTGAGATCTTAGCAGCAAATAGTTCTCTCTGTGTGATAGGAGCAGCCAGGTCCACATTAGCTAAAGCACAGAGCCAGGGACACAGCACACCAAAATAGGACATTAAGGACACGCCAGCCCCTAACTGTTCAGGGGCCACCTGACCCGACATCCTGTATTTTATTTTTACATAATGAAAGTGGCCAGCTAAATTATGACTACTTGTAATTTATTTGGCAGGATAGTTTAAACTTTTCTTATGGATAAATTTGCCATTTGAAAAGAAAGAGAAAATTCTCAGCTGTTCCCCGGGGCCTCATTTTTTTCAGGCTCCTCTGCTATCAAGAACGGAGGCCCTGTGACTTCTGAAGTGATTAGCTCCTTTCCAGAGGCTGGAGAATACATTTGTGGGGGGAAGCAATCTGCAGGGAGGAAACCCTACCCAGGGCAAGGCCCCCACCCCATGGGGGAAGGGCTCTGGGTCTCTAAGATGCCTGTCAAGGCCCCTCCACAAACACAAGTCCGATACCCCAGCCTCACTGCAACCATGGCACCGCTACCCCACTCCTCAGAAGGAACCGTGGGCCCCACAGGGTCAGCTCACTTTGCAAACCCAGAGCCAGAGCCTGGATCCCCTTCCAGGAGCGGGTGACTTCCAAACCTATGCTCTGTACCACACCTGTACTGTCACAGAGAAGGGCATAGCTGCTCTCCTTCTATGGTCTTGCTTTCCCTTCTAATCGTAATTATAGTTCTAATAACAATAATCACAACTCTTTCTTTCTGCTGCCCTACACCTTCCTCTTCTCTTTCCTTCTTCGCCTTCTTCCTCCTCCTCTTCTTCTCCTTCCTCTTCCTCTTCTTCCAAAAATGCATCACACTACATTACCGTAAAAATAAGCAATATCCCAGATACAAACTCGAAAGGAAATATTCCCTACTTACCCCTTCCCCTAGTCCCCCAAGATATATCACCCCTCTCCCCTGAACATTTTAGGACATCTTTTAAGAGCTGAACCTTCCTTCTGTATTCTACAAACATGTACTAATAAAAATAAATATAACAAATGGCAAAAATAGCACAACACACCTCTTTCCTCCTTAACTGGTTTGAAGACATAAACAGTAGCCCATGTCTTTCCTTACATGGTGAAGAAGGCTGATCTCCCGGACTACTACTCCCTTTCACCTCTGACTGCAAACCACCAACATGTGCTTTTCTAGAGCGTTATCAGCTGTGAGTCAGGCAAAGTTCAGGTCTGGAGTCCTCACTTAGAATGTAGGCAAACAATTCTAGCAAGTTCTGAGTTCAGCCCAACGAACCCTCCCTTTGCTGTTCACCAGAAGCCTGCATTTCCACGCGTGCCCCGGGGATATGCGTGCTCTGTAGAGACACAGAGCAGCTCACCGGCACCAGGAAGCGCACGCTTAACAATGGTCGGGCCTGTGCTCTGAGCAGGGCAGCCGCGGGCGGTCCTCGTCTCAGTGCTGGAACCTGGTGGCAATGGCACGCTTGCAAATGCCACGGCCCCCGGAAGTCCTCGCTTCCCACCCCGTTGGCCCGGCTGGTCCTACCTGCATCTGGTGAGGCTGGACGGGCCCAGGCAG